CGCACGAGGTTTTGGATAGGGGCAGATGGAATTCAGTTTCTAACTTGTGCTGCCTCTCCAGCTGCCTGTGATGATTCCCTGGACACTGTACCTGCATTATCACAGCCCTTCAGAGCCAGTTGCAAGTCGCCTTGCCTTTCCCTTGAAGGGTCTATGATGGAAGCACAGCTGATTGCTGGCCAATTCTGCCGAGCAAAGGATGATCTACTGCCACTATAAAGCGTTTCCCACAGCATATGCCATGAAGTTTTCAGTTAAAATGTGACAGATCATCTGATCACAGAATAGTTGAGATTAGAGGGGACTCAGGAGGATACCCAGCACAACCTCAGGCTCAAAGCAGGGTCAGCTCTGGGGCCAGCCCAGGTCACCGGGCCCATTCCTGTTTTTGAAGCAGAGCTCTCTCCAATGGATGTCACACACTTTGTCTTGGTTTGACAAGTGCAAGTGGTTTGACTGCTTTAAGAATAAGTTCTTTCTGGAAGTGCCACAGATTTGTGTTCATTTATTGATGCTCCAACACAAACAGCTTCCCTGCAACACCTCAGAGACCTCTCATCATCCATACCCACCAATTCAAGAAGTGCTGGATTCCAGCCTTTACTGGTGAGTCCAGAGCAAGTAAGAGACATGGATTAGAGCACATTTTCTGGAGCTCAGCAGCACTTATTCCCTCAAAACATTACCTGTCAAATATGCTAAGAGGTTTATATTTGGGAAATGTTCCCCAAATGTACTGACAGAGAAAAACAGCGGGATGGTAAGTGGCAGGTAAGGATCCTAGAGCTGGATGTTGTGTTTGCTGTGACACAACTGATACACCTGCCCCAATACCAGCTGAAGGGAACTTGCAGCAGATCCAAAGGAAACACAAATGGAGAAACAGGGAGGCATTCCTGACACAGAATCCAGGTAAAGTCTCCCTGACTCCCAAGAGATCAACGATGTGGCATTAACAACAGTCTGCTCTGCAAGGGGAGAAAAAGGCATTAAAGACACTGATTTGGTTGGTTTTTCTGCAAACCCTTTCTGGTTGCAGAGGTGTAGCTCCACTTCACCAGTCTGTGTTCAGACAGAACATGGTGCTCGGGTATGGAATTCTCTTAGATCTGGATCAGTACCATGCTCCAATCCCACCTGAACAGTGCTTCTGCCAGGAGGAAAGGACTCCCTCCCCAGTGAAGATTTCTCGCCCGCTCTCCCAAGAATTATGTCAACAAACTCATATGGCAAAGCAGCCTTCCCACTCCATCCCGGGTCACTTATTAACGCAGTTCAAGCTCAGCCAGTATTTTCAGCCCACGGCAGCACGAAGAGTTACATCAGCTCCCACCTGGCAGTGCCCATGTTTCAGCAGAGCACAGCGAGGGCCAGCACCGGGTCATGGTCCCACAGCTGCAGTTGGGAAATGCTGTGTGGGGTGATGCAAGTAGGTGCTGCTTGCCCAGCTCTGGGGGAGGCTCCCTGAACATGTGGAACCCCTGGGAGCAACAAGGCAGCCAGGGAGGGGAAGGGACCAGGGACCGGGTTACGTGTGGCCAACAGAGAGCAGTGGATGGGCTCCACACACCTGGTGAGTGCCCAGTGCCACAAGTGGGGAATTTGGGACCCTGTCATTAAAGGCCATCTTATTCTGCAGCCTTAGGAAGGTCCTTAACATGTTCATTCCTTAGATCCTTCCCATGTTGCTTGCACAGTGGAGGCAGTGGTGAGTTCCCTGGCAGAATTCCCAACTGTGGCTGTTGGGAATCACTTCAGGCAGCACTGGAACAGTGGGAAAAGCCCTGCTACCTGGAGAGTGCTGCAGAGCCTCACATGCAGGAAACTCAACAGGGTTTAGATCACAGCACTGGGCAGCAGAGCTGATGCTCTGAGCTCCAAACCCAACTAGGGATAAGAACAAGTACAGACACCTACAAACAGGATATTCAGGATGCACCTCAGCCTTCAGCTTTTAGATGTTGCTGCAGAAAACAAACAGTTCAACAGAGGGATGGGAGAGTCTGTACAGCAGGATGAGAATTTCGAAAGCAGCAAGACAAACAGGAGGTGTTTGCAGGCAGCAAACAGGAGAGCTGGAACACAGCCACCTGTCCCGGGAAGGGAGCGACACGCGCTGTGCACCCTCCTGCTCGTACGGGAACAGCGAGATCCCGACACGAGGTTGCTCCTCCAGGATGACCACGAAGGGATTTTCCTTCTGGCAGTGGGTGCAGGTGCTTCGGCCAAGGCCCTCCTGGACCTGGCTGGGAAGGGAACAGACGCCCAAAGCCGGAGCGCGGAGCTGCCGCGGGCACAGCCCAGAGCAACTTCCCAGCCCCTCGCTGATGCCTGCGCTGTGCCCCCGCACATCGCCCGCGCCCCAGCGCGCCCCGGTCACGGGCACCGCTCCGGGGACACCCCGGCAAGGTCAGGGCGGCCGTGCCGGCGGGAGCGCGGGGCTCCGCTCCGGCCGCACCCCGCTCGCGGCCGCGCACCCGCCGCTTGAGCGAGACCACGGCGCTCCCGGGGCCCGCCCGCCCTCCAGCGAGCCGGTGGGGCCGGGGCCGGCCGGAACCACGGCGGCTCCCGACCCGCAGCCCCTTCCACTGCCGCCCCAGGGAGCGGCCCCGCGAGGCCCCGCCATGTGCCGGGCAGAGCAGCAGCCGCTCGCCGAGGCGAGTGGACCCCCCTCCGCAGCGGCGGAGGGGCCCGACCCCCCCCGCACTCACCCGGGCGCCGCTCGGCTGCGTTACCCCGCTCCGCTCCCGCCCGGCCGCGCTCCCGCCGCCGCCGCCGCCGCCTTTTGTTCGCCGAGCGCGGCCCCCTCGGCCCATCGGGTCACGGCACCCGCCGCCGCCCATTGGCCGCCGCGGCCGCCACGTGCACGTTGCCTGAGCGCCGGCCGCGCGCCCATTGGCCGCCGCCAGTGGGGCGCGGCCGCGAGGCCTTGTGGGAGTTGTAGTCCCGCCCACCCTCTGCCCCGCCCCCGGCGGCGCTCGCGGCCGTGACCCCCCGCCGCTAACGTCACCGGGGGCCCAGATGACGTCACCGGCACCGGGAGCGGGGCTCGTTCCCCGGCGCCGGGACGGGCCGAGGAGCCTCCCGCGGGCTGTGCTGCAACTGGGCGAGCGGGCGGTGCCCGCGGGGGAGTGGCGGAGCCGGTTCTCCGGTCCCAGCGCGGGCGGCACCGCTGCTGGGAGCGCAATCCCTGGGGAAGCGGCCAACGGGAGGCTCACGGAGCTTCCCGAGGCACCGGGAACGCTGGGGGCAAGGCCGTCCTGCCTCCTCGTTGCGCCATTTCTTCACCAGCCTCTCACGGAGGCCGTCACGGCTCTGCTGCTTCCCAGAAACAACCCATCCCACGTTCACTTTTTCCCTGGTATTTCCAGCCTGTGACTAACGCGCTCATCAGCAGCGCTGAGGGGGGCACCCGGCGCGGTCTCTGCCCCGGCGGCCGGGGCTGCTGTGCCCCCGTGACGGTGTCACCAGACCGGGCACAGCCCCGCGACAGCCTCGCCGACACGATGCTCCTGCCCACCCCGCTGGGCACAGCGTGTCACGCCCGGCGCTGCCAGTGGGGAAAGTATCCCTGGAAAAGTGTTCCCGAACGCTTCAACTGCCTGAAATTTCCTGCGCGGCTCCCCGGGGACGGGGTGTGTCGCTCCCGCCTCCCACTCCGGGGCTCGGCCGCCTGTGTCTCCCCACCCTGGCGTGACCCCCCCCCCCCCCCCCCCCCCCCCCCCCCGGGGAAACACACCCCCCCGGCCCCGGGGGCCTCCCCCAGGGGGCGTTAAATGTCCCCCCCCCCCGGGGGGGGAGACCCCCCCCCCCCCCCCCGTGAGTCACTTGGCAGGAACAAAGTGTCTCCAAGACGAATCTTGGCGCGGGGTCTCACCAGCGCCAAAATAAAGTCGGGACTGAAGCACGGACGGGAGGGAACCAGCAGCATCTCCCCTTAGTCATTTATTTGGCCAGGACTGGCCACTGCAGCGGCGAAACCGGTACCGGGGCCACCCGCGAACGCCAAACGGTCCCGAACAACCGCTGGCAGGGGGCGGTGGCTGCCCCTCGTGCTGCCGCTGCAGGAGGCACCGGCCGTGAGCCGGCGGAGCAGAGGAACCGGCTCTGCCCGGCGTTCGGCACCGCGGCTGCACCGGGGCCGCGCAGGACTCCGGGAACGCGGGTGGAAGCAGAGAACCGCACGGGCACCGGGTCGGGACGGGCAGAGACACCGCGAGAACCCGCCGGCAGCCCCGGGCACGGCCTCCGGACGCGGCTGCCCAGCAGCGAGGGCCGGCGTGCCTGGCCGGGCCGGGGTGCGGGGTCGGTACCGGAGCCGCTCCCGGGGCACCGGGACCCACGTGGGCACTGACCGGCGCGCCTGACGTCACTCTGGGGGCGGGGCCTCCACCGGAAGCGGGGCCGTTGCCCGGCAACGGCGGCGTGGCGCAGCCATGGCGGAGCCGGACCCCGGGCCCATCGTCGCCTTCGGCAGCCTCATCACCGAGGGGACGACGCTGACCCGGCGCGGGCAGCACCACAAGGCGCTGGGCTGCTTCAACAATGTGAGGGCGCCGCGGCGGGGGCGCGGCCCGGGGCGGGACGGGGGCGGCCGCCACTCCGGTCAGGGGGGGGAAAGGGGGGAGGGGGGAAACGTGGCACCCGCGGCGAGGGGAGGTGGCTCGGAGGGACGTGTCTCCAGGAGGTCTCGGCACCAGGGGGTGACCCAGGCAGGGCAGCCCCTGCAGCACAGGGAAGCTGTGAACTGCAAGGGAAGGCTCTTTTCCATAAAAATCCTGCGGTTTTATCATCATCTGTCATCAAGATCCATGTGGGGACTGTGCAGGTGGCAGCAAATACCTGCACTTGTGTATTTGTGGTGTTGAGCCAGCACCGGTGACGTGTCCATGTCTGTGGTTCCAGGCACTGAAGCTGAGGGCAGGGGACAAGCAGTGCCTTATCACCCGCTCCAAATGCTTCCTGAAACTTGGGGACACAGAAAACTCCTTGAAGGATGCTGAAGCCTCGCTCCAAAGAGACAAAGCGTTCACCGAGGTAACCAGAGGAAGTGGTGAGAGCAGGGGAGCCAGGGCTGACCTGGATCTGTGAGACCCTGCAGGGTCTGAGGCAGAGCTGGGAGGGAACAGCTCACACCAAACACTCCTGAGGTTTCTGCTGCTCTTGAAGCAGTGGAGTTGCTCAGTCAGCTCCAGGACTGGGGGTTGTTGGACTCAGGTTGTGACACCCCTGGGTTCTCCCTTCTGCCTGTCAGGAGTTACTTGAGATCCATGAAACTTTTTTCCCTCTTTTTAATAATTTCTTTTCCCAAATGTCATTCCAGGGGCTTTACCAAAAGGCAGAGACCCTCTACACCATGGGGGACTTCGAGTTCGCGCTGGTGTTTTACCATCGAGGCCGGAGGCTCCGCCCGGACCAGCACAAGTTCCAGCTGGGCATCAACAAGGCAGAGGAGGCAATTATGAACTGCATTGGCAGTAAGAAGTGCCACTTCCTGGCCCCCACGGGCCTGGCTGACACTGTTCAGGGCACAGCCGAGGGCAGATCAGCTCTGACAGTGACCCAAGGGCCCCACACCACAGTCCTGCTGCTCCTGGGTCCACGTGCTCAGTGGCAGGTGAATCCAGAAGCACCAGGAAGCACCACAAAGAGCCCAGCCTTGCTCTTTTTTTCCTCTTTTTCCCCCTGAGTGCCCATTCACACACAGTGCCTGATCCCTTCAGTTCTGAAGGTAACTCCTGATACTAAAATTTCCAAAGTCACCATGGAAGTGTTCCAGGGAATACAGATCAGAGCAGCTCATCTCACCAGTGGCCTCCCAGCGTGTGAGGGGAGCTGAGAAGAAAGGTGGACAGAGACTATTTACAAGGGCCTGAAGTGCCAGGACAAGGGGAAATGGCTTCATGCTGAGAAAGGACAGGGTTAATTGGGGTATTGGGGAGAAATCCTTCCCTGTGAGGGTGGGGAGGCCCTGGCACAGGTTGCCCAGTGAAGCTGTGGCTGCCTCATCCCTGGAAGTGTCCAAGGCCAGGTTGGATGGGGCTTGGAGCAACCATGTCTAGTGGAAGGTGTCCCTGCCCATGGCAGGGGGTGGGACTGGATGAGCTTTAAGGTCCCTTCCAACTCAAACCATGCTGGGATTCTGCGATTCTGTGATCTACCTCCAGCACTAATTTCAGAATCCATTTAATTCCAGAATCCATTTTGAGATCTTTAGCCCAATATTCAAAGTTTGGAATGAAATGTGCCATGCTACCTGAGACTGGCCTCCCAAAATCCTGACTCTCCTCCAATTTCCATTGCACAAGAGCAGTGAAACTGTTGACTCTTGCAATGAGCTCTGCTTTCATCACTTCTGGCTCAGATCACCAGCGAGTCCTGCAGAGACAGGAGAGGCCAAGGACCTCGTGGGGTTCAAAGCAAACGGAGAACTTGTCCCTTGTCCCTTAGTTTTTCTCTCAGCCACGCTGGCAGGGGCAGTCAGTCTGTGCCAGTCCGGGGCACACACACACCCCTCACCTGGGGCTGCCACCCCCGACACAACACGTGTGCAGGGAGCCCCGTGCTCAGCCCCCTCCCAGGGCTGCCAAACCTGCCCGGCGGGTTGGAACTGCTCCGGTGCATCCCAGAGCCTATCCCTGCCCAGCACCCGGCACACCCCACTCACACCCTGCACAGATCCCCAGATAGCCCAGGCCTCCCTCCCCTGAAATTTCCAAACTTCAGCCCTCCCCCAGTGCCAGGGATTAACTCACGTGCCAGTGGTGCCAGAGCCTGTGGCACTTTCATATGGAATTGTTATTTAAATAAACAGGGAAGGTTTTCACATCTGGCTTGTTTTCCTCCATTCCTGCTGCTTCCTGAGCTTAGCACAATGATCAGGTATTGCCACAGCTCCCAGCTGGAATCTTCCTGGGCTCAAGGCAAGGTCTCTTAACTTCCCTTGAGCCCCTGGGCTGCAGGTATGGCTGCAGAGTAAAAAACTAGAAAACTCTTTTTTATACATCAGTCAATAGCTCCAAGATGCAGGGAAGCAAGGAAACACATCAGCATGGATCTGGATGTTTGAATAGTTGGGAAATGCACACACATTAACAGGGCACATTCCCAAAGTGCTTCCCTGCCTGTGCTTCATGTGACAGGATTGGGAACTGCTGCCCCTGTGATCTGCCTGTGCCCACGCTGCTGGTCTGGGCCCCATGGCTGTGCCAAAGGGAATCCTCCTGCAGTGGCCTGGGAAGCTCTGTCCTTCCCTTGGACTCCCCTCCCTAGGTGCAGATGAAAACACAACAGGAGTTTTGCCCTAATGTTGGTGCACATACCTTTAGAATGATTCTCTGGATTGCAGGAGCTCCCTGTGCTCAGAGCTTTCCTGCCATTTTACATTCCAGCTGTGATTCCCCAGAAGAACCTGCATCCTTCTCCTTCCCCAGTTTCCATGCAGGATTTAGCCTGTCTGTAGGAATGCTGCAATGAGAGCCCTCGGTGCTGTGTAAAATAGGAATTAAAATCCCGAGAGGAGCTGATGGATGAGCTGCATTCCCTGCACCCAGGACACATCAACACCTCCTGTTCCATGGGAAAGAATTAGAACATCTTCAGTTCAAACTGAACATTTTGGGCTTGGCACCTTTATGGGCATTTTACTGACAAGAGCCTGCATGGCTGTTGTGGGCACTAACAGGGGTTTCCTCTGTGTCTGCAGATCCAGCCTCGGTGAAGCTGGAGAACAAGGAGGAGCTGGGCTTCGTGAGCAGGCAGGCAGAGGTACAGCACAGAGCTCTTGCTGGAGAAGCTTCTAGACTGGTTGCAATGCTAAAACTGCCTGAAATGGGCATGGGAAGGGAGACAGTCCCTGCAGGGACACAGGTCCTGTACAGCAGGTCTGCTGAAACAGACTGACCCATCATGAGTGTTTAGCACCTGCTTCTAGTGCAGGTCTGGCTCAAACCACCCAGAACTTACAGGAGAATGCAGAAGGGCAGGGAAGAGCCATGGGGAGAAACAAAGCCCAGTGTGGAATTCCTCTCCAGCCCCTTCCTGGGGGTGTTACTGGTCGCTCATCCGAGGCTAATGAGTAACATCCCTGAGGTCAGCAGGGTGCCATGAGCTCCAATATTGACTTTGGGTTTACCTGATGTTTAAGGTCACAGTTTTGATAATGGACACTTTCTCAATTGCTTCACTTCGGGGTGCTCCATGGCAGTAGGGTCTTGCTCCTCCACGAGGCCAGAACTAGTTCTTGCTTTTCCTGTAACACCCTCTTGGTCCTTAGGGAGCACAATTGGCTGCAGAATTTCACTTGCTCATAACCAAAGCAGCTGGTGAGACACTGACTTTTTCCTTTTAATTAGAAAATAAGCTGCCTTACATGGAGCATGACAGAATTCTGATCATTCCAGTGTTCCCCACTGATCTCCCCCAACTTCCTTTGCTTTTTTTCTCACCGCAGAGCAGAAAAAACAACCAGAAACTGCAAAACATACCAACTAAGGATCAAAAAGGGACAAAAAAGAAGCAGCGTGTGAAGAATCCAAAAACAGAGCGAGAGCTTCTGGGACAGCTTTACGATGACAAGACCTTCCTGGAGAAGTTGCTCAAGGATGAAGGTGTTTCTCCATTGTGTTTACCTAAATGTTCCTTCCAAGCAGGTTCTGTTTTTCTTTTCCTCTTATCCTTTTTTTATTTCTCTTCTTCGATTTTGTCCCTGTGACTCTTCCTGACTCGTACCAGAGCACGTGGTGCTGGACAAGGGCAGGTTTGGAGCCAGGTCCAACATTTATAACTATGGGCTTATTTCCTTCCCCATCAATAAATCAACTCAGAGCAACCTGTGCTGATGAAATGAGAATCATAGAATCATAGAATCATAGAATCATAGAATCATAGAATAGATTGGGTTGGAAAAGACCTCCAAGATCATCAAGTCCAACCTCTGATCCAGCTCCAATTACTATATCATGGCACTAAGGGCCACGTCCAATCTCTTTTTAAAAACCTCCAGGGATGGTGAATCCACCACCTCTCTGGGTAGGCCGTTCCAATGCCTGATAACCCTCTCTGTAAAGAATTTCTTCCTAACATCTAACCTAAACCTCCCCTGGCAGAGCTTGAGCCCATGTCCCCTTGTCCTATTGTTGGTTGCCTGGGAGAAGAGACCAACCCCCACCTGGCTATAAGAAAGAGAAAGAGAAACAGCTTCATTGCAAGTGACTGAACTTCTGTCACAACGACAAACCCGCTGACACTCACGCTCAGTGCTGAGGGCTGCTCACAGGGCTGTGACTCCTCTGTGGGTTTGTTATAAATGCTGGTAACTCCCCCATTACCTCAGCTCTGAGGAGCACAGGACAATTTAGTTTCCAGGACTGTCTCTGTCAGACCAGAAGAACATTCCTAAGCGATTCCCCACTTCACTGCAGCTCAGGTCCATTGATACTCACCTGGATTCTGCCTTATCTGATTTCCAGACTTGATGCAGATCAACATGAGGCAGGGGGGGAAAGTCGAAGACCTGGTTTTGGATGGCATCTCCTACCTGAACCAGCGCCGGGACTTCTGGCAGCAGCAGAAGCCGATCTACGCCCGGCTGTACGAGCGCCGGCTCCTGCAGCAGAGGGGGATCGGGGACAGGAAACGGAAACCGGCTGAAGTTGCCAGAGCCATCGCCAAGGACATGGAGGATATTGAGCTGAGTAGGTTCCTGGCTGGAAGCTGAGTGCCTCCCACTGCTGTGGGGAGCTCTAACCGTTCCCAACCTTTGCCTGAGGGTTACCGCTGCACTGGGTCTCCCTTCCCCAGTATCACAGAATCCCAGGATGGTTTGAGTTGGAAGGGACCATAAATCTCATCCAGCTCCACCCCCTGCCATAAGCAGGGACACCTTCCACTAGCCCAGGTTTCTCCAAGCCCCGTCCAGCCTGGCCTGGAACACTCCCAGGGATGGGGAATTCACAACATCTCAGCATCTCTGTGTCACACCCCAGTGTCAAACTCTGCTCCCTGTCCCCAGTGCTGGCCAGAGGCTCTGCTGAGGAAAGCTGCAGGAAAGCTGAGCGTCTCCTGAAAAAGATACAAGGGCGGGCAGAGAATGAACTTCCCAACAAGAGTGAACTGATTGGGACCCTCCACAGCTGCATTGGGAATGCACAGGTGGAGATGGGACAGATGGAGGCAGCTCTGCGCAGCTATAGGAGGGATCTGGATTGTGCCAGGCAGAAGTAAGTGCTGGGAGGTTCAGGTGGGTGGGGAAAGGGAAAAGTACCTCGTGGAGGTGTTTTAGCATTAGGTAATGGTGTTATTCTCACCTGGAGGTTTAACAGGGCCACACATTCAGCTCTGCCTGTGTATCAGGGTCTCTGGTGACTTTTTATCTTTACTATTTCAAAAATAAGGAGCCTGAAGTGGATTTTTAAGGACCTAGAGCACGGGGCACATTGAAACCTCTGCTGAAACAAAGTGAAAGAACACAAGGCCCAGTCTCAGCACTTGAGCCTCGAGCAGGCACCTCCTTCTCAGGAAGCTCAGGCTTGAAATTGCACCAGTTTTCTGCTCCATTTTGTCTTAAAACCCTTTTCATTCAGACCATGAGAGCAGCTTGAAATAAACGTCTCTCTGAGGTGCACTTACCTGCCCACACTGGACACATCCTGCAGCTCTTCCAGCTGAACCACAGTGGAGCAAAATGTAGTCTTAGTAACAGTTTGTAAAGCACATGAGAAAACACGGAATAGTGGCTTGAATTGAAGTTGTTTGGGGGTTATTTTTGCCAGTGCTGCACCGGGCTTTCAAAATGTCACTGACAGGCTGTTTCTCATTTTCAAAAATCCCTTTGGAAACGAGTGTTGTTTTAGGAAATGGCTGCCTTTCTCCTGGTGATCCCACTCCCCGGGTACGCCAGATAAAGGCAGGAATTAGCAGGAGAGAGGCAGGAGGAGATACCTGGTTTTAGGACCCTTTTAAAGTTCCTTTAAGGACCCGAAGGCCGCTGTGACGGGCGGGCCGCGCCCTCTGGCGGCTGCAGCTGGAAACGCCGTTAATGACTCTTAATGACTCGGTAATGATTCCCGTTAATGACCGCGTGGCGGGGGGGCTGGAACTGGATGATCCTTAGGGCCCCTTCCCACCCAAACCAGTCGGTTATTCCATGATTCCCGTCTCATTTGGCTGCTCCACTCATGGGTTTTTCCCTCTCTAAGGTAAGGGTAGGCAAAGCCACTTCCAAAGATGGGAATGAGGATAATTAAGGAAAAAAGTTAAAGCCCACAGGCTCCGTTGTTATAGGAGCCACCTGTGGCATGGAGCAAAGCTCAGTCCAAGCACAGGGAGCAGGGCTGGTGCCAGGAGCCTGCAGACACATTTTTGGGTCTTCCCCTTTGGAAGACAGAGATCATCCATGAATGTCGGGGACCCAGATGGAAACTGAGACAAAGAAAAGTGGAAAGACTTTTACAAGGAATGCCAGATTTGCACAAAACCCCAACAATAATCAAAGATAAAGCTAAACCATTTCCCCTGTGTCCCATGGGGTCAGTCAATCAAAAATTGACCTTAATTTCATGGCTTTCAGTCTGACCTGAGCCCTTTACTCCCCAACACTTCCCTGAGGCCATGGGGAGGACCAGAGGGACTCAGAGTGAGTCAGGAGCAGGACGATGCCAGTGCCACAATCCCTCTGTCTCCCTGTCACAGTGCTCTGCCCAACTCCTTGTCCCGGGCCCTGGACAACATCGGCCGCGTGTACGCCCGGACCAGCAGGTTCCAGCAGGCCATCAACACGTGAGTACAGCCCAGCAGGAAGGGCAGTGGGGGCCTGGAGTGACCTGGGCCATGGCTGTGCAGTTGTGTGTTCCCACTGCAGCAGGGGATGGGGAAATTTTCATACCTGAACCCTCAGTTATCAAATCAGTGGTTGAATCATAACTGCACCCAGCGACAGTCGATAACTGTCTGTCTTACTCTGCTTGAAGCTGGGAGAAGAGGATTCCAATGGCAAAATCCAGCCTGGAGAAGGCCTGTCTGTTCCATGACATCGGCCGGTGTTACCTCGAGCTGGGTGAAGCTGAAACAGCCCAAGACTGTGGACAGAAGTCTCTGGAGTCAGCGGATGAAGAGGGAGATGTGGAGTGGCAGCTCCACGCCACTGTGCTGGTGGCACAGGCACAAGGTAAAGGGGTGGGCACAGGTTTTGCTCTCAGGATGGAGAAGCCATTCTGAAAACATCTCTGGGATTTAACAGCCAAAGCAACCCCTCAGATCAAGACTGGTGTGATTACCTCTGGTTGTTCTCCTGATCCTGGGTTAAACCAGCTGATATCCTTGTCTGTTCCAGTGAAATTAAAGGATTACCGGTCTGCGATCCTGAACTTTGAAAAGGCCCTGGAGAAGGCGAAGCTTGTGCCTGACCAAGCTGCTCAAAACACCATCATTACGGTAAGGGGGCTGCTGCAGGGAGGAGGAGCTCAGGGCAGCATCCATGAGCAGCTGTTATCCCAGCTGGGATACTCCAGGCAGTAATGCTGGAGAAATGAAGAGTTTTGTGGTAGGAAAGGACCAGCTAACAACAGCAGAGGGCAAAAGAAAACAGGAAAAACTTGTGTATGTAACTGCATTTCCGGGGCTTTTATTAAGAGCCACATCCCTTTCAGGCCTTGCATAAGGTGAGCAAAAGCTACATCAAGCAGCTGAGCAAAGGCGGCAAAGAAGCGACAGTTCCCTCACAGAAAGGTACTTCTCATTCCCACCTCTGCACCTAGAAATGGAAAAACTCCCCATTTTCCTCTTCTGGAGCACAGCAGCTGCACCTTAGAATTGCCACAGCACCCATTTCCTTCCAAGCAGTGAATTAGAATCTTGGTTCAAGTCCAGACAAGGCAGCGCTCCCTGAGTGTCCCCTGCGCCCCGGGCCCGGTGTCACCGACACACCAGCCCTCCCTGGGCCCGGTGAGGGGTCCTGGCAGGGGCCTGTGCCTGCAGCCCCCAGGGCTGCTCCCCTCAGTGCTGCTTCCCAGCACCTCCTGTCCCAGCAAACGGGGAGCGAGAGATTCGTGGTGGGGGTGAGGGAGCGGGGGGACCTTTCTTGAGCCCGACTGCTGAGTGCTGGGACTTGGCTTAAGTTTGCTTATTCCTCCCCAGATCGTGAGTCCAGCCGTGAAAACACAAAAAACAAGTTGGAGAAGGACAGAGGGAGGGAGGGAGGGGAACAACGCGTGGGAAATCAAGATGAGAAGACAAAAGAAGAAGCCAAGAATGATAGAAAAACCACAAAAAACAACAAGCTTAAGAAGGACAAAGAGAGGGAGAAAGAGGAACAAGACATAGGAAATCAAGATGAAAGGCCAAAAGAAGAAACCGGGAACGATACAGGAAACACAAAAAACGAGTCTGAGAAGGACAGAGAGAGGGAGGAAGGGAAAGAAGACACAGGAAATCAAGATGAAAAGCCAAAAGAG